GTTAGTAAATTAAATGCAGTGATTTATGAAAAAGATAGAATGACACATAATTCACAGACAAGGTGGGTTTATTCCAGGAATGCAAGGCAGGTTTAACATCTGAAAAGTCCATCAGTGTAATTCGCCACATAAACACAACAAAAGAGAAAAAAAACCTGTGGTCATATCAGTAGAGGAAATAAAAGTCCACAGAAAATATAAGACCATTTATGATTAAAAACAAATCTCTCAGAAAAGTAGAAACAGAAGGAAACTTTCATAATCTGAAAAGAGCAGCTATAAACCTGATGGTGAAATATTAAACGTTTTCCCTCTGAAATAAGGAATGAGGCTCCTGCCACTTAAATGTAACGTCAAACCACAGTTCCTAGTTAATGCAATAAGACAAGGAGGACATATAAAAAGAATAAGGATTGGACAGGATGAATATAATCAAACTGGCATCATTTACAGAGAATTTTTGGGTCAAAGAATACATAGATAAACTACTGGAAATGATAAGTGGAAAATAATAGGGGGCTTCAGCAAGACTGCTGGGCTTCAGGCCGACAGGCAAAACCAGTCCTAGAAGAAATAGCAAATAGCAAATATCAATCTAAAAATTATACCATATATGTTGACATCAAAAGGACTAACTCCCGGTGAATGAATCCAACAGGGAAGTTGTGCGAGACCTCTACGCAGAAAACTAAATAACCGTGCCGAGAGAAACCCGAGAGGAGTTAAAGACGACCCCAGGAAATGGAAGGGTGGGTCGTGTTTATTAATTGGAAAACTCAGTGTTGCAAAGACATCATGTTGCCCCAAAATGACCTACACGGCCTCTCCTCTCCCCAAACCTCTAGCTGAAATAATGCATCCATGGTCACGCCTGCTAATTTATGTATTTAATTAAGCAAAGAATTTCAGCATCGCAAACCAGTTGAGAAAATTTATGCCTTGATACAGGGTAATTTATATTCATTTTTCAAAATAAGTGTAAGATTATATATGTGTATATACATATATATTTAAAAACAAGCATAGCTGTCATATGCACACACACACATACATTACACACACACACATTCACACACACACACATATATTACACACACACATATACATTACACACACACACACATATGGTGGAAGGGGCAGGATTGAAAGCAGTTTCCGTGTATACTTTTGTCTATATTTTTGACCCTTGAATCATGTAGACCTCCTACTCAAGAAAAAAAAATTACACAAATTCCTTAAATTCAGAATGGCATCAAAAAACCCAAACCCACTCATATTTATCTCAGAAACATACTAACTCAAACATACATATGCAAAGAGAGAATTTGTTTCAAAGGACTGCAGAAAGCAGTATTTTCCTGAACATTCCTTGTGGGGTGTCTTCTAAAGACCAAAGGAAGTATGAAGAGATTTTTAGCAATGTCACAATTCCAATTGTTGTATCACATGTATTGCCATTTGAAATGACAGGACAAAGCAAATAAATAATCAGACGAATGATATTTGTCAACAGGAATTTTCTGGTTAAGAGGAATGAAACAATTTAAACAATCAAAAAAAAAGTGAAAGCACTGTGTTCTCATTGAATGATTGCATTTTAATTCAACATAAAGATCCAAAAAAACTATATAGACATTCAGGCTCGTTAACAGGAGAAGTGTTTGGGTCATAAAATATGACATTTTTATCTTCTTATGTTTTGTCTGTTTCAATTTCCTAATTCTCTATAAGGGACGCAACTAACATAATAACACAACCAATATAATAATATAAATAATACCACTAATATATATAATTATTATATGTGTAGCTAATATGCATAGTGGATGCATTCCTTGTAATTGTACCAGAAGTGAACAAAAATTACACTGCTGATGAAAAAGGATTTAGCAGTGCCGGGTTATAGTTCGTGTCTGGGATTAAATGAACACAACACGTGAAAACACGCAGGAGCTTCTGGAATGTGAGCGCGCACGAGCACGAGCTGTGACGTGAGAGCGCACAGCCGCGACTTACTTCTTCATCTGGTAGTAGCCCTTCTTCACGGTCCCGAAGTTGCCGGAGCCCAGCTCCTTGTCCTCCAGGGTCAGCAGCTTCCGGTCCAGGTAGACCTCCTTGGGCCTGATCTCCTCGGGGTCCGCATACGGGCTCTCGTAGACCTCGGTGTCCATGGGCAAGGCCTCACGCTGGGCTTCTGCAACGCAGGCCAGAAACACAGCACCCTGGGGCTGGGTCCCACGTGACAGTGCCACCGTCCTGCATCCTGCGGGCACACCTCCCCTTTCGAGCCCTGGGCCACCCGGGGCAGTTACGGGGCCTGTGGGCACTCAAGACGCGGTCTCCCACAGCTGGTAACGGTGGGGAAGGGGAAGCCCTCGTCCCTGTGGCACCGGACCCCTCTTCTTGCATCAGGAAGGGGTCTTTGTGCCAGAGGCAAAGTCAGACGGGGTCCTCCTAACGGGCCGTGGTGGCTTTAAACCATATCTGAAAATTCTGACCCTCTTTCATCGAGAGGTGGAGTCTGTGTCATCCCCCCTTGGTGGCTTCTGTAACCCTGTCACCCCCGAGAGCACTGCAGAAGCGAGGCTGGTGGCACACTCAGGTGAGCTGCCAGAAGGCCGTGCACCTGCCTGGCCTGCTGGAAACTGGCTCTTGACGCTTCAGTGCCGTGTGGGTTGTCCAGCCGCCCTGAGCCCTGCTAGGCTGGGAGAGTGCCCAGCCGGCCGGGGGCAGGGAC